TGGTTAAATCGAATGATATATTGGATTGGATCGAATAATATTGGATCAATTTTGGACGGATGAAATTTCGAACGTTTTCGAAATTTGTTACGTTCGTAGAATTTTAAACATGGAAATAATATGCCATCCAATGGATATTGATCAAGGCTTGCCGGATTAAACGTCGTTCGTAGAACATTGGTTGAAACACCGAATTTCCATTGGTTAAATCAGAAACAATTACTATATTTCGAATGAGGAATATTGGGCCTTGCCGGATTAAATTTCGTCCAGAGAACATTGGTTAAACATGGAATTTGCATTGGTTAAAGCATAAACAATTACTATATTTCGAATGATAATTTGGATCGAATTTTGGACGGATGAAATTTCACTCTTTTAGAACGATAATTCCAATGTTGCCGGATTAAAGGTCGTTCGTAGAATATTAGTTAAACATGGAATTTGAATTGGTTAAATCATAAAAATCCACATTACGAATAGGAATATTGATCAAGGCTTGCCGGAACATTGGTGAAACCCGAATTTCGTTAAATCAGAAACAATTATTATATTTCGAATGAGAATATTGGAATTTGCATTAAATTTCGTCAGAGAACATTGGTTAAACATGGAATTTGCATTAAACAAAACAATTACTATATTTCGAATGATAATATTGGATCGAATTTTGGACGGATGAAATTTCGTTACTCTTTTTAATCAATGTTTGCCGGATTAAAGGTCGTTCGTAGAATATTGGTTAAACATTGAAACGAATAATATTGATCCAAGGCTTGCCGGAAAACGTCGTTCGTAGAACATTGAACCGAATTCCATTGGTTAAATTTAAATTTCGAATGAGAATATTGGAGCGAGTGCTTGCCGGATTAAATTTCGTCCAGAGAACATTGAAACATGGAATTTGCATTGGTTAAAGCATAAACAATTACTATATTTCGAATGATAATATTGGATCGAATTTTGGACGGATGAAATTTCCTCTTTTTAAACGATAATATGCATCCAATGTTGCCGGATTAAAGGTCGTTCGTAGAATATTGGTTAAACATGGAATTTGATTGGTTAAATTAAAAAATTTACATTACGAATGGAATATTGATCCAAGGCTTGCCGGATTAAACGTCGTTCGTAGAACATTGGTGAAACACCAATTTCCATTGGTTAAATCAAAACAATTACTATATTTCGAATGAGAATATTGGAGCGAGTGCTTGCCGGATTAAATTTCGTCGAGAACATTGGTTAAACATGGAATTTGCATTGGTTAAAGCATAAACAATTACTATATTTCGAATGATAATATTGGATCAATTTTGGACGGATGAAATTTCGTTACTCTTTTTAGAACGATAATATGCCATCAATGTTGCCGGATTAATCGTTCGTAGAATATTGGTTAAACATGGAATTTGAATTGGTTAAATCATAAAAATTTACTACATTACGAATGGGAATATTGATCCAAGGCTTGCCGGATTAAACGTCGTTCGTTGAAACACCGAATTTCCATTGGTTAAATCAGATGAATGAGAATTTGCCGGATTAAATTTCGTCCAGAGAACATTGGTTAAACATGGATTTGCAAAAGCAATTATATTTCGAATGATTTTGGATCGAATTTTGGACGGATGAAATTTCGAGAACGATAATATGCCATCAATGTTTGCCGGATTAAAGGTCGTTCGTAGAATATTGGTTAAACATGGAATTTGAATTGGTTAAATCATAAAAATTACTACGTTACGAATGGGAATATTGATCCAAGGCTTGCCGGATTAAACGTCGTTCGTAGAACGTTGGTGAAACACCAATTTCCATTGGTTAAATCGAAACAATTACTATATTTCGAATGAGAATATTGGGCGAATTTGCCGGATTAAATTTCGTCCAGAGAACATTGGTTAAACATGGAATTTGCATTGGTTAAGCATAATTTACTATATTTCGAATGATAATATTGGATCGAATTTTGGACGGATGAAATTTCGTTACTCTTTTTAGAACGATAATATGCCATCCAATGTTGCCGGATTAAAGGTCGTTCGTAGAATATTGGTTAAACATGGAATTTGAATTGGTTAAATCATAAAAAATTACTACATTACGAATGGGAATATTGATCCAAGGCTTGCCGGATTAAACGTCGTTCGTAGAACATTGGTGAAACACCGAATTTCCATTGGTTAAATCAGAAACAATTACTATATTTCGAATGAGAATATTGGAGCGAGTGCTTGCCGGATTAAATTTCGTCCAGAGAACATTGGTTAAACATGGAATTTGCATTGGTTAAAGCATAAACAATTACTATATTTCGAATGATAATATTGGATCGAATTTTGGACGGATGAAATTTCGTTACTCTTTTTAGAACGATAATATGCCATCCAATGTTGCCGGATTAAAGGTCGTTCGTAGAATATTGGTTAAACATGGAATTTGAATTGGTTAAATCATAAAAAATTGCTTTATTTAGAATGATAATTTGCGATCCAATGCTTGCCGGACTGAATGTCGTTCGGAGAATATTGTTTAAAATGGAATTTGCATTGGTTAAGTCATAAACAATTACTATATTTCGAATGATAATATTGGATCGAATGCTGCCCGTATTAAAGGTCTTTACTTTTTTTAAAACGATAATATGCCATCCAATATTGCCTGATTAAAGGTCGTCCGGAGAACATTGGTTAAACAGAATTTACATTGTTTAAACCCTAAACAATTACTATATTTCGAATGAGAATATTGGATCCAATTCTTGCCGGATTAAATATCGTTCAGAGAACATTGTTTAAACATGGTATTTACATTGGTTAAATCATAAACAATTACTATATTTAGAACGATAAATTGTTATCCGAAGTTGCCGGATTAAAGTTCGTTAGGAGAACATTGGTTAATGATGGAATTTGCATTGGTTTAATCATAAACAATTACAATATTTCGAATGAGTGTATTGGATCCAATGCTTGCCGTATTGAGGGTTGTTCGGATATCATTGGTTAAACATTGAATTTGCATAGTTTAAATCTTAAACAATTACCATATTTCGAAGAGAATATTGAATCCAATACTTGCCGGATTAAAGGTCATTCGGCGAAAATTGGTTAAACTTGGAATTTAAATTGGTTAAATTATAAACAATTACTATACTTTGAAGAGAATATTGGATCCAATGCTTGCCGGATTAACGGTCGTTCGGGAAACATGGAATTGTCATTGATTATATCATGAACAATTACTTTATGTAGAACGATAATTTGCGATCCAATGTTGCCGGATTAAAGGTCGTTCGGAGAACATTGGTTAAACATGGAATTTGCATTGGTAAAATCAAAAACAATTACTTCATTTACAACGATAATTTTCGATCTAATGTTGCCGAATTAAAGGTCATTCGGCGATCCTTGTTTAAACATGGAATTTGCATTGGTTAGATCATAAACAATTACTATATTTCGAAGAGAATATTGAGTCCAATGCTTGCTGGATTAAAGGTCGTTCGGAGAACATTGGTTAAACATGGAATTGGGTTAAATAAAAACAATTACTTCATTTACAACGATAATTTGCGATCCAATGTTGCCGGATTAAAGGTCGTTCGGCGAACATTGTTTAAAAACTGCCAAACGCAACTCACCAACCATCTTCTTCGTTAACGATGGAAAAGATGGTCGCTTAACAGAAATTACGTCACTTTTCTTCTCTTTGACAGTAATTTTCAGCATGTCTTTCTGCTATATTAACCCATTACCTGCCATGAGCTTCATTTGAGGATCCGTTATAATTAAACTCACTACATGTTATTCCTTGTATTTACATTGAATTGCTTACATACATTGCATTTGCAGAGGTATATTTTACAATACTTAGCCTTTAAAGTTTTTATTATTAGCCGTAAGAAGACACTTTCTGTCGTAATTTTACATTTCACGAGTAGAAAAATAATTTTACATTTCACGAGTAGAAAAATAATGACTATTTTGAAAAGTATTTTTTTATTATTTCTAATCAATATTATTTTTTGATGTTTTATACAAACACACACACACACGCATATATATATGTATATATATATATATTTGATGTTCTAGTTTCTATAAAAATGAAAATGGTAACTACTGGAACTAAACATAAAGAATAAATAAACTCCTAAGACACCTGTCTGGGCCAAAAATGCGCATTAAAAAAAATTTGGCAGTTAATGGGTTAAAGAGGGTGTTTAAATTGCTAAGAGCTTTACATTTGAAATAGGGATCCTTTTTTTTTTACAGGGCTACGTTTTTATGGGTAAATATTTTTGCCATGTTTTGTCAGACGAAATATCAGAAAGAATTCATTTTTTTCTGTACTTTTATATTAGAAATCATCATTTTACTGTTTACCCATAGCTGGAGAGAGAAGAAATAGATTCATGCCTTTCCCAGGGGTATTAGCACGTTAGTAAACGCAATAAACTCATTCGAACTCAGCTCTCCAATTCTTCAGTCCGAACCGCTAACCATTATCCCACCGTATATATCAATATACTTAAAATATATTCTTAAATGCCACGGATGTTTAGTTGTAATAATGTTAGGTTAGCCATTACAATTGGTACCCCAAAACGGAAATAGTTCTAGCAGTGAGATCTCGCCTAAAACGCACGCTATTATGCAAGACAAAATTAAAATTTCAATAATCTTTTGGTACGAGTGACTGGTGAACATATTTGCTTTGTAGACTTAAGAGTTTTAAAAAGAACGAATTTCAATGGACATCAGGGAAAACTTGAACGCCTTATGAATGAATAACGAAATGACTTGAAAAAAAAAAAAAAGCCAACACAAAAGCCGCTTAGAATTTTGAAACGTTTACGCGTTTGAAATCGTCCGATGTTGTGTTGGTGTAGATTTTACTTTTACCTTAAAGGTTTATTTGCACATCCAATGCATTACTATTTGTTTTAATCATCGCCTTTCAGTTTTAGTATATATTCATCTATATACAGCTTCATGTCTATCTATTTTATTCTGTTTAAGTCTATCTCATTTAGTTCACCTCTATCTGTTCATCTATTTAACTATAACTTCAATATAGATCTATCTATCTATCTATCTATCTATCTATCTATCTATCTATCTATCTATCTATCTATCTATCTATCTATCATAGTCTCTTCATTATCTATCTATCTATCTATCTATCTGAAGAAATATCATTGTAGGGTATGCTTTATTTATGGGATAAAGTGCTCAATATCAGAGATTGAGCGTATGGAAATTTAAAAGCGAACATTGAAGTAAACACTCATATATATATATATATATATATATATATATATATATATATATATATATATATATATATGTCTCTCTAGGTCTATTCATATCTATCTATCTATATATGTATATCTCGTTTTATCTATCTACAGTCTATCCCTTCACAGCTATCTATCTATATATCTGTCTATACACACACACACATATATATATATATATATGTGTGTGTATATATATATATATATCTATCTAGATACATATATCTGTCTATATATATATATATATATATATATATATATATATATATATATATAGATTTATTATAGATAGATAGATGTGAAGAGATAGACTATAGATAAATAAATATGAATAGACTATAGATAGATATGAAAAGACTATAAATAGATAGATCTGAACAAAATATAAATAGATAAAACAAGATAGACATAGGTAGATAGATAGATAGATAGATAGATAGATAGATAGATATGAATTGACCTAGATAGACATGTATATATAGAGATATGAATAGACCGATATCTATATCTATATATATATATATATATATGGGTCTATTTATATATGTCTATATATCTATCTGTCGATCTGTTTATATGTATCTATTCTTATCTATCTATCTATTTATGTATGTATCAATCTATTCATATCTATCTATCGATCTCTCTCTCTCTATATATATATATGAAGAAATATCGTTGTAAGGTATGTTTTATTTATGGGATAAAGTGCTCAATATCAGAGATTGAGCGTATGTAAATTTAAAAGTGAATATTAAAGTTAACACTCGACTAGTTTCGGCCAACATGGCCATCATCAGAGAAAATTTTTCTGCTTGCTGGTAGCAGTGAACTACACACACACACACACACACATATATATATATATACATATATATATATATATATATATATATATATCGGTCTATTCCTGTCTCTCTCTATATATATACATGTCTATCTCGGTCTATTCATATCTGTCTATCTCTATCTTGGTGTATTCATATCTATCTATCTATCTATCTATCTATCTCGGTTTATCTATCTATAGTTTGTTCAGATATATTTATCTATAGTCTTTTCATATCTATCTATAGTCTATTAATATCTATTTATGTATCGTCTATCTCCTCACATCTATCTATCTATCTATCTATCTATCTATCTATCTGTTTTCCATCTCCATCCTTTTCGTAATCTTGTGAGATATTTCTTAAGTGTGCACCAAATTCAGTGGAAATCAATGCAGATTAAAGCGGAATAAAATCTACGAATTCTAAAAAAGTTCAATCAGTCAAATATTGAGCAGACGACATCTTATAATAGGAAATAAAAATGGTTTCTTTTGATCTACGTAAGTAGGTATATTTTCATATTTCTCTGAGCTTGCTTTCACGCGTTGAAAATATGAAGAATTTGTATTTACACAGGCACTGATATCTACACACGTGGATATGTACCGGTACTTAGGTGAACGAATTGAAGATTTGTGTGATACTATAGACACCCACACAGAAGATATAGTTTTATCTCCATTTCAAGTGTTTCTGTTTGATAGAGAAGCGGATGGGTCCATTTGAAGTTCGGTCTTCTAAACTGTTTCCACTTTAACCAAAGTGTAGTCGGAAGTAAAGAGGTGAATGGGGGATTTTTTGCAGATCAAGTTGCAACAAAATCGCAAACAGGTTATGCAGAGTAAGTGGCCATGTTTAAATGTAATTGGCAGAACTATCTAAGAAAAAGAATTGACAAAGTTTGTAATAAACAATAACAAGAAAACAAAGAATAGAACAGGTCAAAAATAATATTAAGCAAGTGAACAATATATGCAAGACAAAGCAACAGTAATAAAGTTAAACTAAGAATGGCGTTAACACACAAATCGTGATACGGACAAGTGATCAATCGCAGCATTCTAGTTTCAAGACAAGACCGGGAGTGAGTTAGATGAGATCAAGAATGGACCTATCTTATTGGCTAGGAAGAAATCCCAGCATGCATTTCTGTGTTTCGTCTATAAATTTGGGGAGTGAGCGACGTTGTAAGCTGCGTGATCAGTCTGAATTCTTCACTGAGTGTCGTAACGCCCTCCTCGGTCCAGTGAGTTTTCAAGGCCGATGAGAACATTCTAGATTAGTGAAGGGAATCGTGTCGGACCCGATCTGAGGGCAGCTCGGGTTTTCGGCGGCCGAGTTGTGCCTTTTCTGGTCCTGGGTGGATTACCTCAGCACCCCTAAGTTTACGCTTACCTGGCGATTGATCCGGAACGTGCTATCTTTCAATAACGTGGCTTTCAGAGTGGATGTGTCATCGATGACACCTTCTTCCACTGTGCGCCCGTTCTGGGATCATATCAGCGAGTTGTATCGACCCCTGAACATCTCGATGTCGCATATGTGAGTGATAATGTGACGCTGAAATAGTTGATGTTTCTTACGTTGCTAGCCATGGCGGGAATGGTGGTGTTAGTGACGAACACTATCCACATCGGGATCTGATTGGATTCTTTGAGCATCAGATCGGGACGAAGATCCGAACTGAGAGAATGTATTTTCTTTCGGCATATTCGACGAAAGTTGGGTGCAAGTTGCGAGCCTGGTTCGCATGAACGAACCAATTTTGATTTCTTTTTTTTTAGTCCCCTAAAGTCATGACTGGCTGGATTCCTGGCGGACCCCATCCCTAGTTAAGCTAGACTTCATTTGTTCACGTAGTTAATGTGAGTGATTGTTGTTTCCGACGTTCTTCCGGCCTGCTCCCAGCATTCACTGAAAAACATTTAGATTTTGTAAGTTTTCGGATTTGGGAATTTCGGATAAAGGATACGCAACCTGTAATATATTCGTTTAGAGTGTGACATGGAATGCTTAAATGATCAGCACCCGTTCTGGCACAGGGCAGTAGGTTTTATTTATCATCTCTCAGTTGCGTCTCTGTCTTCGGGTAGACTGCAGCTCGGTTACGGCTCTGGCGGAGGACAGAGGCGCAACTGAGGAAAATGGTTCTTGTCAATATTCCCAATCTCTCCAGTTTTTTTTATCCCCTTTTTATCTTGACCTGATCAGCCTTTGATATTTCCCCACTCCTAAATTTATTTTGCCCCTCTCTCGCCTCTAGCCAGCAAGCTTCTTTATTCTGCTTATCGGCAGAATACAACGGCTGCTCTTATTTTTTGTGGGTTGATCGGTTCTTACTAATGACATTATTTTATTTATTTTAGTTTGAGTATTTTGTTTATTTTTATTTTCATTATGGCGTTCACCACTCTCATTTCATAATAAATTTTTGTCGATTTTTATGAGAAAATTAGGGGAAAAAAATGAAAAAGGACAATTTTTATATATTGGAAAATTTTATTCCATACTTGTTTTAGTAGGATCCCCGCGAACATGCAGTATTGCGGTATATGTTGGATTGAATGGAGAAGGATGAGTTCTTGTGCTAACCTAGGAAATTATCAGAGTGAATTGATTAGCTAAGTGTTGGAGAAACAACGCAAGCCAGCCTGTCCCTAACTGGACTTCGGCTTTACGTCTCAAAGTAATGATTGTATCATTATTTAAATAAACATTCCACCTAAGATTGGAACCCACGTGTTATATTCGGGTGCTAGTCTATATTATCAGTCATGCTTGTAATCTGTGATAGGGCTGGTCTGCCCTTGACAGGAGACGAACGTGTCTGTGTCGCGGTTCTGAAGCCTCCATTTTTGTATTATCAGCCACCTTGATGGGATGTGTAGATGGGCGAGAGATTGGTTGGGGGAAGAGCCGACGTAGCAGAAGATGTTCCACGTATCATGTACCTACCCACTCGGACGAGCAGGCAAATCCCCGAATAAAACTTTGATATACAAGGTGTCCATAAAGTTCGTGTGCATTTCAAAAATGTATAACTTTACTAGCAGTAGAGACCGGCGTTGCCCAGGGATGTAACAGTAAGAGATAGATCAAGTATCGACCATCATAAAGACTGAAAAATAAAATTGACAAAGATTATTGTTTAAGGTTGACGTACACGCATGTCTTAATTAGTTTTATTTTTTTATTTTTTTTTTTTTACGAATTGGTCAAACCCAAACTCAAACAAAAACATTGTTTTCAATCGTTATGAGTCTCTACCGATTGAATAGAATTTTATTATAAACAATTGTCTTGTAAATGGAATTTTTAAAGCATTCTGAATGTAAAAATAAAGAAAAAAGTGTGCAAGACAATAAGAAACACAACCTGCCAAAAAGAAGTGAATTTTGTTGAAATCAGTTGAAAAATGTAGGAAATCCTATCCCATATATAAAGGAACACACACACACACAAACAACCTGGGTTTTATAATAAGTATAACTCGATATGAGTTGTCCCCCTTTCATTCTCGTGATGCCTCTTAATCGTGTTTTCAAATTGATTTCATGCAAAAACAATTGTGTTTTTCCAATTTTCGGCGCTGTTAGAACCACTGCAAGGTAATTTTACGTAGTCCTGTGAAGTTTTGTTGAAATCGGTTGAAAAATGTAGGAAATCCGATCCAATATATAAACGCACACGCGCACGCACACACACACACACACACACACACACACACACACACACACACAATCTGCGTTTTATAATAAGTAAGATTTGTATTTGCGATAGAAATAATCTGTAAAAATGTTATAAAGTTTAATGTACCTAGTTTTAAGTATAGCTAAAATAACTAATGTGATTTCAGGCATTACTGTAAATCAGTTGGCAAATGTTTTCCGTGAACTGCAAAATCGTATGACCTTTTGTTTTTCCAATGATGGAGGACATGTGTAAACTTAAATAAAGTTTCAATAAAACCTTAAACAATATAGATTTACTTCTTTCTAATCCTTTTATAAATTATTTCTATCGCAAATACAAATAAAGTTATTAATTTTTTAAAGTGCACATGAACTTTATGGACACCCTGTATAATATCGAGAACAGGGTTCGCGTTCTTATTTCTCAGAAAAATGCCTTCCAAGGCTCCGCCGAATGTCTATAGATCTGATAAAAGAACTCTTCGTCCCACAGAATCGTGTATGTCTGGCGAAGACACTAATACCTTAACATTTCAACCCTTCAACGGAAAAGAGGGAATTCAGACCCTCATCACACAGGGATGGTCAAGGACAAAAATTCCCCGAGCCTTCGCAACCGACGGTTGCGCTAGCCTCGGTGCGAGCACCGATCCTTCTCTCTAGCGTAATGAGAACGTGCAACCTTAGGAATGTGTGCCCCAGGGCTGGGCACCACACAGTGTGGTTTTCCTCAGTTGCGCCTCTGTCCTCCGACGGAATCGCAACCGAGCTGCAGTCTGCCCAAAGACAGAGAGGCAACTGAGAGATGATAAATAAAACCTTCCCTCCTGTGCCAGGGCGGGTACTGATCATTTAAGCATTCCATGCCACACCCAAAACGAATATATTACAGGTTGCGTATCCTTTATCCGAAATTCTCAAATTCGAAAACTTCCGAAATCTGAATGTTTTTCAGGTGCTGACATGATTTACCCCAAATGGAAAATTTTAGAAAGCACTGGAAAGATGTGCAGCTGTTTTAAGTGACCTCATCTGTCCTGGGTGGTGCCATTTTTTGGTATCGATCCTCACAGTGACACCTTCGTTTGTGGATTACTTAGCAAGTGTTTCGTGCTCAGTAAAGATATTATTCATAATGTCGAATAGTCTTGCAGATACCCATATGGGTAGTGAAAAGAGAAATGAAAGAATGCATTTATGCTTATGAATATCACAGAAAATGTAACTGTTGGAAAAACTAGGCAAGGGTTTAAGGGTGAAGCGTCTGTCTGAGGAGTTTGGCGTTGGAACAACCACCATATACGATTTAAGGAAACAGAAATTGTTAAAGTTTTATGCTGAAAATGATGAACAGAAATTAATAATAAAAAAATAACACTACCCAGAGTTAAAAATGGTATTCTCGATCGTGTACTGATGGGGTGATTTCGTCAGCGTAGGGGTGAACATATGCCGCTTATATAAAACTAGCTTCCGGGTAGATGTGCAAGCTGTGTTATGAAATATAAAGAGATATCGTATTTATGCTTGGGTTCCATTCCCAAGATGCCCCATTTTATAGACGCTATATACAAATGAAATAGCCTGTATTCCAAAATGCGAACAAATCTGACAACTGAAGCACTTCCGGTCCCAAGAATTTCGGATAAAGGATA